GACTGCAACTGGCCGACCAAGCGGCGTGAGTGTGGTGCGGTCTCGAAAGAAGGAGCGAGAAGCCCCCGAGTCAAGGGTGAAGGTGAGGGAGGTCGAAGCCGACGCAGTACCTGAGAGAGCAGACTCACCAGCACCTGAGGACACAGACACACTAGCACCTAGAGCAGCAGCCTCGCTAGCACCTAGAGCAGCAGCCTCACCAGTACCTAGAGCAGCAGTCTCAATGCCCAGGTTGGGCGGAAAACACCGGTAACAGTCACCCTCATCACTAATAGTCACAGCATACATGGCAGCAAGAATAGCATCAAAGTCAAGGTCAAAGACAGCTACTCCCGCCCTAGACAGCTCACCCCAGCGGGGGATCTCGGTGGCCTCCGGGAACTGGTGACGCCAAGCGTCCGTCAGGCGGCCAAAGCAGCGCTGGGTGGAGTGCGCACCCCCGCACTGCTCACCCGCGCGGTCGCCGGTGCGTAGGACGTAGGTGCACGGACCAGCCCCCCCACCCCGCTGGCGTGCAGCGTACCACTCACGGAGCTGCTGAGGGGGGGGGGGATGTCACGAGTGCGCTGCTGCTGCTGCTGGCGCTGACCACTGCCGGAGCCGACCCTCTGCGCAGCGCCACCCCGACCAGCTCCACTTCCTCCGCCACCGCCTCGCCCACCACCACCACCTCCGCTACCTCCGCTCCCACCGCCACCACCGCCGCCTCCTCCGCCTCCACTGCCGCCACCCCCACCTCCACCCCCGCCGCCACCCCCACCGCCACCCCAACCCCCTCCGCTGCCTCCACCGCCCCCGCTAGCTCCGTTAGCGCCCCTGCCCCCCTTGCCCTTGCCAGGGCGGCGCTTCCCGCTAGGGGTAGACGCCGCACCGACCGACTCCAGACCAACAAGGTTGGCCGCAGCAGCAGAGGCAACAGAGGGCAAAGGGGGGAGGGGGAACACCCCTCAAAGATGGGGGTGCGAGGGTCACCACGAGAGGCTCCTACAGCTACTATGCTCTTCTCCGCTGCTAGGAGGGCCTTCTCGAGGAGGTCAACGGTGAGAGTGGTGGGGCAAACGGAGAGGAAGTGGTCTCTGACTACGCGAAGGGAGTCAGGGAGCCGGGTGACTATGTAGTAGAGGGTGATGTACATGGGGGGGGGGGGGTTCTTGGCGCAAAACTCAGCAGGAAGCGCAGCGCGGTAGCGAGTGTCACTAGTGCGGAGGTGCGTAATGAGGTCAGCGACTGTGGGAAAGGCAGCAAGGTCAGGGAAGAGGTACGCTAGCATGAGGCGGCTCAGTGCAGTAGTGGCAGGGGAGGAGTAGCGTGCAACTACAGCGTCGTACAAGGTCTGAGCACTCTTGTACTGACTAAAGTGCGCACGCTCAGAGGTAGGCAGGTGGCGATGCACAGCAAGACGTGCAGCAGCATCGCGTGTGGCCCACTGTGAGCGAACAGTGGCGTCGGCATCAGCAACAGGGGCAGGAGAGGCACCAGAGTTGAGGTCAAAGAGGGAGAGACCGTCTGCCCTATCGCACTGTAGGAAAAGCTGCAGGTCATCTATCCAGACGTCAAAGTCAATGGCCCGAACCTCAGTGTCAAAAGTGAGGACACTAGGGGTAGCCATGACAGAAGTAGACTAGCAGCTCGAACAGTAGGGTAAGGGCAGTGCAGTGACAGAGGCGCTGCTCTTACCAGACAGGGCGGCTCGGGCGGCTCGTCGGCTCGGCGGCTCGGCAACTCGGCGGCTCGGGCGGCTCGGGCGGCTCGGCAGTACGGCGGCTCGGCAGCAACTGCGACTCGGCGGCTCGGGCGGCTCGGCAGCTCGGGCGGCTCGGGCGACTCGGCAGCTCGGGCGGTTGGCGCGGTGCGGCGGCTCGGGCGGCTCGGGTGGCGGGCGGCTCGGCAGCAGGCAACGGCGCCGGCGGCTCGGTGGTGACGGCGGGGCCGCGTGGGGACGGCGGTGGGGCCGGCAGAGGCGGCGCCGGGGCCGCACAGGTAGGCGACGGGGCCGGGAAGGGCAGCGCCGGGGCCGCACAGGTAGGTGACGGGGCCGGGAAGGGCAGCGCCGGGGCCGCAGTTAGGCGACGGGGCCAGCAAGGGCGGGGCCGGGTCGGGAAGGGCGGCGTCAGGGCCGCAGGGTAGGCGACGGGGCCGCAGGGCGGCGGATTGGGGTCTGGAAGGGCGGCGACAGGGCCGCGGGGTAGGCGACGAGGCCGCAAGGCGGCGGATCGGGGCCGGGAAGGGCGGCGCCAGGGCCACGGGGTAGGCGACGGGGCCGAAGGGCGGCGAATCGGGGCCGGGAAGGGCGGCGCGAGGGCCGCGGGATAGGCGACGGGGCCGCTAGGGCGGCGGATCGGGGCCGTCAAGGTTGGGGCCGGGGCCGCAGGGGTAGGCGACGGGTCGCTAGAGCGGCGGATCGGGGCCGTCAAAGGGCGGCGTGACACAGCCGCTAGGGCGGCGCGACAGGGTCGAGAAAAGGGGAGCTCGACTCGGGCAAGGGCTGAGCGCACTCCGGGCAGGAAAAAAAATCGATTCGGTGGGCCCTAGGAACAGTTCCCACGAGGGAACCTGCTCGATACCATGAGAAAACTGAAATGAGAATGAATGAACTATGAAACAGTTGGGTACAAGTACTAACCCTAATTGGGTTGTACCCCTTATGGGCTACCCCACTACAGCCTACACAAATGCATAAGCTATAATGTTCTGACACGTATCGTGGCCGTCCTGAAAATCGATGATGCCTGATGCGTGAGAGGTGTTGAAGTCCCGTCGTTCGCACGTGCTGTTCCTGCCGAAGTTCCTTCGTGTTGTAGCGTTCGCCTCCACCACTCCAGCGCAGGTCCTCGCAACAGTGAAACTGCGAAATTAATGCGGGTGGCGTCATCATAAATCATAGCAGCATTAAAGAACACCTCCACACCGAACAACCACGCAGAAACAGTGACAAACTTGTCACTCGGGTTAAATGAGGGCGGGTTTGTCGGCTTGATTTTCACAAAAGCCGTTGCTGCCATCGGGGCCGTTGGCATTGCTGTTGGCGTCGCCGTTGTCGTCGCTGCTGCACGTGGTGGTACTGCACGCGACTGTTGTGGCGACTGCTCCTGCTGCGCCTGCCTTGCTTCGTCCGCATCCATCTCGCCTTCCAGCTCGCTCCAGACCCGCTCATCTGGTGTAGTGCTGCTACTTGCGTTGTCCACGACAGGCGACTCTTAGCGCGCTTCACCACGCGCCTGGTGTAGTTCGGCGTTTTCCTTCCGTAGACGCTCCATCTCTGCAGTCATACCCTGCAAGTTGGCCTGCATCGCACGGAACTGTTGCATGAACTCGGCCTGCTCCATGTGCCTCAGGCTTCGTCGAACGGGCAGGGGGTGGCTCGCGATTTTTCTGACTTTGGTGAAGGCGTTAATGCTATCGTAGTCGGAGTGGAATAATCAGATCTATTCCACGGGCCGACCGCTTAACAGCCCACCAATTCTATCGCTCCCCTTCTTTAAACTACCCTGGAAACGCGAGGGTAACCTAGGACTTTAGGCTCTGATACCAAGTGTTATAAGTTGTGAAAGGAAAGAGTGCGCAGAACTCAGTAATGCGGAAGTGATTACAACGTCTGACTGAACAACGAGGCCTAGGCACAATATAGCAAGGTTAGCTAGGCCGAGGTCGCGGGGTCGCGAGATGGTTGGGTGCAGGTTCGGGGTTGGAAAACCTGAAAGCGACGCGGTGGTGGCTCGGAAGGCGAGGTCGGCGGGCCGAGCCTGGTTTTCCGAAAGTCGGAGTTGTACGCGTACAGTGTGACCCAGTAAGGAATCCGAAAAATTTCTTACAACACCACTGACTGTTCAGCGCTTTTATTTTCTGTACTATGAAAAATCAGCACTGGAAATCAATGTTTGGCCTCCGGGGGACACTAACTGATCAGCGTGCCCCAAAACGAATCTGAGGGCCTGCCATGGACCCTTCGTTCGTCCCGTAGTGCGGCCCCTGCGGGCCCTCTGTTCGTCATGTAGCGCGGCCCCTCGCGGCCCTTCATTCGTCCCGTAGCGCGGCCCTTGCGAGCCCCTTCGTACATCCGGTAGCGCGCCCCTCCCGCAGGCCCTTACGTTCATCCCATCGCGCAGCTCCCTGCGGGCCCCTCGTTCGTCCCGTAGCACGCCCACCCCCCCGCGGGCCTCTCGTTCGTCCCGTAGCACGGCCCCCATTGGCGCTCCCTTCACCCGTAACCCTAGTGTTCATCGCATGTCGCCTTAGCACCCACGCCCATAACCCTAGCCCGTCGTGCACGTCACCCGTCCATCACCCTAACTCATACCCGCGCGCTGCTGCAACGGTTCATGCCGTCGCTAGCAGCAGTAGCAGCTAGCGCCAAAAACAACAGCCAGCGCCAGCAACAGCAACTAGCGCCTACAGCAGCAGCCATCGCCAGCAGCAGCCGCCCGTGCCTTCGCTACATTCTGCCCGACGGCACCCCACCGCACTAGACTATTTTCCACCGCACTAGACCGCTCCCCACCACACTAGACTGCTCCCCACCGCACTAGACCGGCCCCCACTACACTAGACCACACCTGAACGCCCTAAACCACACCCCGTCCGCACCCTGTTCGCGCATCCTGTCCGCATCCCACCCCCCCTCCCGTCGACTTCGCAGCTGTTGTGAAGGGAGTGGCGGAAGTGGCGGGAGTGGCGAGAGAAACTGCGCCATTCACCTGCTCGCGCCAGACCGCTCGCACCATGACGCCCGCACGCACTTCACCGCCCGTTTCCGTCCCGCTCGCTTGAAAGCCCCACGGGCCCTGCTCGTCACCCAACGCTGCGGCTGGTCGCGTGTGCAGCGACGGTCGCGGTTGGGGGGGGGGGGGGGGGGGGGGGTGGGAAGAGAGAGAGGCAAACGCGAAGGGCGTGGCGGCGGACCGCCAGCCAACTCGCCAACCGTCCGCGCATATCCCCCGTTCTCCCGTCAGAACCCGCACCCAGCGACCATCCCGTCGTCCTGCCTCGTCCTTGCCCCACCGTCAGATCCCGCCCCCCCCCACCATCAGATCCCGCGCCGTTTCCATATGAGGGGGAGGTGGTGGGGTGTTGGCCCGTGGGGGACGGCTGGGGGAGGGGGAGTGGCGGGGTTGGCGGTTCATGGGTGGGGTGGGGAAGGGGGGGGGGGGGTGGTGGGCGGATGTCACCAGCACCAGCACGAGCACTAGGCACCAGCACCAGCATGAGCACCAGCACCAGCACCAGGCACCAGCACCAACACCAGGCACCAGCACTAGCACCAGCACCAGCGCCAGCACCAGCACCAGCGCCAGCACCAGCACCGTCACGCCAGCACTAGGCACCAGCACCAGCGCCATCACGCCAGCACTAGGCACCAGCGCCAGCCGCCAGCACCAGCACCGGCACCAGCGCCGTCACACTAGCACCAGGCACCAGCGCTAGCCGCCAGCACCAGGCACCAGCACCAGCGCCAGCCGCCAGCACTAGGCACCAGCACCAGCACCAGCCGCCAGCACCAGGCACCAGCACCAGCGCCAGCCGCCAGCACCAGGCACCAGCGCCAGCCGCCAGCACCAGGCACCAGCACCAGCGCCAGCCGCCAGCACCAGGCACCAGCACCAGCGCCAGCCGCCAGCACTAGGCACCAGCGCCAGCTGCCAGCACCAGCACCAGCACCGAAGCCAGTCACCAGCACCAGCACCGGCACCAGCGCCGTCACGCTAGCACCAGGCACCAGCGCCAGCCGCCAGCACCAGGCACCAGCACCAGCGCCAGCCGCCAGCACTAGGCACCAGCACCAGCGCCAGCCGCCAGCACCAGGCACCAGCACCAGCGCCAGCCGCCAGCACCAGGCACCAGCGCCAGCCGCCAGCACCAGGCACCAGCACCAGCGCCAGCCGCCAGCACCAGGCACCAGCACCAGCGCCAGCCGCCAGCACTAGGCACCAGCGCCAGCCGCCAGCACTAGGCACCAGCGCCAGCCGCCAGCACCAGCACCAGCACCAGCCGCGAGCACCACGCACCAGCACCAGGCACCAGCACCAGCAGCCAGCACCAGGCACCAGCACCAGCGCCAGCCGCCAGCACCAGGCACCAGCACCAGCGCCAGCCGCCAGCAGCAGGCACCAGCACCAGCGCCAGCCGCCAGCACCAAGCACTAGCACCAAAGCCAGTCACTAGCACCAGCACCGGCACCAGCGCCGTCACGCCAGCACCAGGCACCAGGACCAGCTGCCCCGCCTGTGACCAGCAGCCCCACCTGTGAAGAACTGGACAGGGACCATCGTGGGTGGGGAGGGGTCTGGAGGAAGAAAGGGGGGAAGGGAGTGCGGTTCCAGGGGGCGGTTGAAATGGGGGGTGAGGTTACAGGGGGTTGGTTGATTGGGGGTGGGGATGTGGGGGTTAGTAAGAGGGGACGTTGCGGCCACCCCCCCACCTCCTCTCCTCATCCCCCACTCAACCCCCCCTTCGTAAAAGGGGGTTAATAAGAGGGGACGCCGCGACCACCCCCCCACCTCCTCTCCTCATCCCTCACTCACCTCCTCCTTTGTTCTTATCTCCTCTCCTCTCTCTCTCTCTCTCTCTCTCTCTCTCTCTCTCTCTCTCTCTCTCTCTAATGGTCCTTGTATTGATAAAGCCGAAAGGTACACACATGCAAAGTAGAAAGCAAGCAACATGAAACACGATGCAACATTACCTAGGCTACCTCTGCTGCCACCCTGCTACCCCACTCTAAATTTCCAGGAGTGGTTCCACCACCGCAAAACAGTCCCCCAGGTGCAATTCATGCCCGATGCCCCCCACAAGAGGATTCTCTGCTACTGCAGCCTCACCCAATTTCATCAGAAGCCCCACGGATTGGGCCCGTTGAAGGGCCACGGACCAACGCTGCCGGAACTGATGCAAGAACTTGGCGGCATAGAAAGATTTGGAGTCGGCGTTGAAGTGACGCCGAGCCGCCGAGTCTGCCAGGAGCTTGAGGAATACGGGAACCTCAGCACACGGGCAGCCGTAGGTGTCCACTGCGAGGGGGAAGAAGCCAACGGTCTCCGGGCGGTTGGCATAGTGCTTGATCTTCTTGTCGGCCTGCTCACGTGCCGCCCACCCTCTGCCTTTCTGAGCCTCCGGATCCCTAGTGCTTATTGGGTCAGTGACCGTGACGTCACAGATGTAGACCGCTCCACTGCTTCTGTCCGACATTGTGAAATCAGCTGTTTGTTCCTCGATGGGGCAGTAGGCCGTTGACTCCCTGTGTACTATAAAGCCCGCATCCTGCGCCATGCTTACGCATGCGTCCCGCAGCTCATTGTGGGTGTTAGTGCGGTGCTTGCCCGTGCCGCATCGGAGAAGGTGGTTTGGGAGCCGGGGGTCAGTGATGGACGTGTGCTCTGAGCAGTCGCAGTTTTTAGGGGTGGAAAACGGCAACGCGAGGCGGAAGCGTACTGCATTGGCGAAATGCACCGGCCCAATCCGCCTTGTGGGAGCCACTGGGATGGCCGTAATCCAGTCGCCGGTGCCATATCCAGTCAAGGAGTACATCCGCTGCGTGTGTCCGGCTAGCGGGTTCAACTCCATTCGCCTCGTCGCCTGCACCTGTACGGCATACCGGCTCCCGTGCACCTTCAATCCGAGCACGTGCTGGAGCCGAATGTCAGAACGCTCCAGCCGCTCCTTCTCTAAAACCTCCAGCGCGTCTGTTGGCAGTGCGGCTTCACAACCCCTCAGCCATGTGTGTAGTGGAGTGCTGACGTCGCGCGGGAGGAGCATATGATTCCTTGCCAACGAGAGCGCGGTCCCCTCTTCCAGCGTGAGTTCGTTGAGGAATAGCGCTGCCTGGGTAAAACTCGCCGCGAAGCCGTAAACCCCTTCGACGAGGGGATTAGTGATACCGAGGCCTCCTAGTGATGGGGGTAACGACGCCTGCTCCCAGATGCGCGTCTGCTCCGTCCTACAGGTCGGCGTGCGGATGTCACAAGCAATGAGGAGCGTGGTGAGCAGGTCCATACCCCACTGGCTCCATCTGTCACGGGGCAGGAGGTTGAGAGGAGTGGTCCGTGTGAGGTATGCGACCCGTCTCGAAATGCAGCGAGTGATGAGAAGTGCCGCAACCTGTGGGTCTGTCTGTTCGATGAGTCTTAGCGGCTTCGCCATCTCGTCAAGCTGCCTTGTTAGAAATGTCGTCGCGCCGCTATCAGGCCCTATGAAGCTGCCAAGTAATTGCACGCCGTCCTTGGTTAGGGGGACCCCTTGAGGTAGGTGTGCTGCTTGGACTGCGCTCGAATTCCAGGCGGCGCACTTGTGTGGGTTGTGCTCAAGTCCCAGGAACGACAGGTTGCTCGTGAAATGTGTAAATGCTGCTACAGTGTCTTCAAAGTCCCCTATGAAAGTCACGTCGTCCGCATACGCCAAGCAAAGTACCCCAGCGTGGGCATCTGCAGTGTCGCGTAGTGTAGCATGAATCCCCGCTGCAAACAGTAGCGGCCCAAGTGGGTCCCCCTGGCGAACCCCGCGTTCGCTGTGCAGTGGTTCGGAGTTGTAGTTGGAATCCAGGAACAGCTGCGACGGGTTACCGTAGGTTAGTTTGACGAGCGGCAGCAGTGGCGAGAGTTCGGGGGCGTGTAACGCAGTGGCGATGGCCTGTCGCGAAATACTGTTGAAAGCGTTTTTGATGTCCGCTTGCAATACCAGGCTGTTAGGGTGGGAATCCAGGAAGGCTCTGGCCGCGTGGATTACGGTTTCGGCGCCACCTGGCACTGCCACCCCATACTGAAGGGGGAGGAAGAAATCGCGGGCAGCTTCGCCCATCACCATCAGGGCAGCCTTGGCTGCCAGCCTGGTCAAACACTCGCCGATCGCGATTGGCCGAGCGCCTCCTCCCGGCTTGGCCAGAGCAATAAGCCGCGATGCGGTCAGGAGGGTCGCCACCGGGCCTGGCAGATTTCCACCCAGGATGGTGTTAACCAAGGCGTGCAGATGGGTTTGGACCGACGCGTTTGTGATTGACGCGTCGCGCAAGTGCTCAAATGTCATCCCAGAAGGCCCCGCTCCAACTCCATTTTCGCATCTGCCCAACATCTTGGCGAATTCCGCGTGGGCGATTGAAAGTGTTGACTCACTCGTGGTTGGCCAGGTCACCCCTTCGCTCGCTGCTGGAGGGTGTTTCTGACGCAGCTCTTCCAAAATTTCGGGGCTGGGAGTGCAGACGGGGGTTGACTCAAGGGCGAGTACGGCCCTTCGAAGGCTGCCACGTTTCGCTAGACACTCAGCCCGGCTGATCACACCTGTCGCGTCGGGACGGTGGCGGGGCAGAGGTGGCATGTTGACCGCGTCGACCGCGTCCTGGTACAATTGCTCCCATTCGCCACGCTGGAAGGCTCGGAGACGAGCTTTGATTTTGGTCCAATCCGGACGGCGAGGCGAGGTCTGGCGAAGGGTTAGGCGCGGGAGAAATAGCAGCAGGCGCCATCCTGCCTCTGACTCGGGGTTTCGTGAGAGGTGTAGTAACGGCGTCAACATCGCCAGTGAGAACAGCTGACACAAATTCGGCGGTAAGCGCCGCGACAGTGAAGGCTGGCGACTGTCGCACAGGGCCGTGATATCCCAAATACTGATTGCAGCGAACAGGTCTACCCGCTTCGCGAGGTCGTCTGGCGAAAAATAGCGGGGGACCGAAGCGGCTGGGCGTGTTGCAGTCCATATGTCTGCTGGCCGATTTCCTCTTGGGCGATTCCCTCGTGCCCTGGGAGCGGAGGTTGGAATCCCCTCCGTCCGTTCTGCATCGAGCGGTGGGCGTGTCTCCTGGGGCGTGTCCAAGCGTGCTTGCTCCCCCACTACCGTCAATCCGCTAGTGTTCCTTCTCGCCCTGCCTTCCTCTTCCTCTGTCTCTTCGCCCTCGCTAGCTGGTGCTGCCTCTTCTATATAAGAAGGATCCTGCCGCTCGTCTTCATCGTTCGCTGTAGTCAAATTGGTTAAAGCCACTCTAGCCGCTGCCTGGTAACCATTCTCCGGGCCTCCGCCAACCCCGCTTGCCGTTTGCCGTTCCGTCCCTCGACCTCCCCGCGCTTGAGATGGTGATTCCTGGTGCTGACGAGCCGTCGCCAGAGCTCGCTGCCGCCTGGTCGGCTGTCGTCGCCAGGCCTCAGTCGGAGCCCGAAAGGGCGACCACTGCCTTGAAACCTCCTCTACCGCCGGCTCCGAAGCCCTCGTTAGCAGACGCTGAAAAGATTCATCCCCCCGCACCCGTGGCTCCCCAGGGGGGGGGGGCGGCTGGCCCGTCTGCTCCTGCTGAGGCTCCGCCTGTCCCGTTTGCTGCTCCTGCTCCAGCGCACCTGGCTCCTGCGGTTCCACCGGTAGTGTCCGCGCCTGCTGGGGAAGCAGCTGCTCGCTCCGGTCCCGTTGTTCGCGCACTCGTTGTGCCGTCTGCTTCGGTCCCCGGCGTGCCTGTGCCTGTGTCTGCTTCTTCCCCAAAGGCGGCGTCCGCCACCACTGACGACCCTGCTCCGATGGATGCTCCTCCTGGCGCCGACCCGGCGGCTCCCGCTCAGCCGCCGTCGGCCCCTGGGGTGCAGTCGTCTCGCCCCCCGTCGCCTGACCGTCGCTTGTCCCGGCCCCATTCTCCAGCGCCCCAGCAGGAGCGCGAAACGTCTCGGCGCCGGCGGAACTCCCCCCGGCGCTACCAGCAGCAGGCCCAGTGGCCAACGCACCCAGGTGGCAGTGGGGGGTGGCGGGGCCCCCCGGGGCGCGGTGGGGGCGGGCGGTATCGGCCGCCCGTGACGCTGGCGGACCTCCAGCGCGAGGTGTCGCGGGAGGTGTCGCGCGCCGTACGTCAGGGGAGGGCAGCGCCGAGCCAGAGCAGTTCGCGGCAAGTTGCTCCGGAGCCCGTTGCTCCTCGTTCGCCTGTGCATCCTGTAGCCCCTCCGCCGGCTGTTGTTCCTCCTCCTCTTGTCCCTGCCCCGTCCGTTCCTTCTCCTTCTGTTGCGGTGCCGGCGACCGGCTCCCGCCTGCATCTGCCACCTGTTCCGCCTGTCGCAGGGGTAGAGTTCGTGGCGACGGGTAGTGGCGTGGCTGCGGCTCCGTACGCAGCTGATGAGTCTCTCCGGTTCCTGACGGCGGCTCTGCTGCCTCCGCAGACGCGCGTTCCTGAGACAACACTTGGTCAGCTTCACCGTCTCGCGGAGAGCCTGCATGCTCTGCTTCTGATTCAAGTGCTTGCGCACTCGTCTCTCCCTGCTGTCCCGCCCGAGTCCTTTCGCAGCCACCTGCGTGACCCGTGCCTCGACGCAGCTGACCAGCTCGCGGAGCTGCTGGCGCCCGTGCTGGCTGCGCCCGCGGAGGGAGGCGCTGCTGCCGCGGGACAGCTTGTTGAGGCTGTCCGTGCACTGCGGCGACACTTGCACGCAGGATCTGGAGCCGCGGCGATCGGCGCAAGCACGCTTGTGGTCCGGGAGCT